TTTTAGACAGAGTGTCATGTTCTTTAGGAAACAGATCAACATGTCAGGATCATATTTAGGGAAGAGTCTAGTCAGACCAGACACACTAACAATACCAGTATTGCTAGCAATGTCAACGTGTTCTTTGAATGTCTTTGGAGCAAAGAGAATCCCATCCACCTCAGTTACTAGTACACCCTTATTCACGACAACCCATACCTTGTCTTCACTTTTAAGAATACTGATCAAACCAATTGACTGCAACAAATGAAGAGCATCCAAGACGTCTTCTCTTTTGTCTGATAAATTATATTCATTATGACTCTTAGTAGCAAGCAATACATCAGAGAGGGTCAGTATATTCTCTTTCCTTTCCTCCAGTAGACCATACATCATGTGACAATAAAGACTCAAATTCCTTCCACTTGCACTACGAATGGACTCACAGGCACTAGACAACTTTTTAAAGAAGGAATCCACACCACTCCCACCAAGCTTACGACAATCTAAGAAGACACTATCACACCTTTCCCTTACAATAATCTCCTGTATTTCTTCCTTTCTCCTTCTCTTTTCAAAAGGATTAAATATCTCATCCACATGACTGACTATTACAATAACATGGCATTGATTAAGAGCTTTTTGTGCTTCATTTCTCACAACTGTTAGCCACTGATGAAACTGTTTGACTGCTTCCTTCTCCAGTATATTGACTACTATCAGGAACACACCACCAGAACCTCGTAACAGATTCTCAATAACAGCACTGTGACTGGAGTAGTATTCTGAATGACCAGCAAAATCATGAAGAATGATGTTACCCAGTGTCCTGTGTTGTAGTTTATAAGGAATGATGCCAGCAGTACAGGCCACTACCCCTCCAACATTTCTAAAGAAACCAAGAGCAATAGAACCAGTAGCTGTGTCATTGATGACTTGACTAAGAGTACTTTTACCAGCTCCAGGATTACCCACAAGGAGAACATTAACATAAGAATCAATTGGATGAGATATTTTAATGTCACCAAACTTCTTGAAGATAGCAATGACAGTATCACTATCATACTCTCTCTCTTTAGCTAGTTGTAATGGTGTCCTCCCCTCATTTTCTTTAGCCAAAGGATCATAATTACCAGTCGACAATAAGAATTCAACAACTTCAGGTGTACCCCAACTGGCAGCCCAATGAAGAGGTGTTTGTCCATACTTATCAGTGATCATTATATCACAGTTACACTCATTAATGAGGTACTTTACAACATCTATGTGTCTAACGGCACGATGAAGAACAGTCCGATCATTATTGCTAGTAGTCGTTAGATTATAGTGATGAGTATTGATGAGGTACTTCATGACATCAAGTGATCCTTCACTAGCTGCATTATGTAGAATAGTATCTCCAACTTTATCAGGAGTCATTATATCACAGTTACACTCATTAATGAGGTACTTTACAACATCTATGTGTTCAACAGCACAATGAAGAACAGTCCGACCATTATTAATATCATGATATTGTTCATCTATTATATGACCATTGATGTTCATGACTATACACTTCAAGACATCAAGTAATCCTTCTCTAGCTACATAATGAAGAACAGGGACACTGCCATGCTCAGTTGTAGTAGTCCGCATCATTGGATCACAGTCGCACTCTTTAATAAGATATTCAACTATGTCAATGTGATTACCTTTAGCAGCAGTATAAAGACAGGATTCACGTTTATTAGAGAATCCATCATTGTAGTATTTATGTGGATCAAAATGGTAAGAAATGACGAGATCTCTTGTAACATCTAACCAGCCATTACTTATAGAATAATAAAGCAGGTAAGGCTCGTCCCGGTGAAGTACTCCAGGATCCTGTAAACCTAGTAACCAAACAGCTTCTTCGTGATCTCCTCTGTAAAATGCAACCCAACATGATGACAGATTCATTACAGAATCCTTGTCTTTCTTGTTACTGCGCTTTTCACTCCACTTGGATCACCCATAGATTATGTATCTACCGGGATCACAAACATTCCAAACCGGATGAAACAATCCGGGTTATTTCCGGTGGTCACTTACCTAAGCCACCCACATGTAATTATGGCTGCATTTATTCTTCAGTAATATCAGGGCTCCTGGTAATAATGTAAAAATGTTTGTAATGTAAAATTGATTCAATTAGATGACTCCAAGGGAAGCACAAATGTACTTCTTTCAAGTAAAATTAAAGCGCTGAAACAAAAAAAGTTACAGAATTACTTAGTGACTTAAAAGGACAAAACCTCCCAAACAAAATCTACTCTTGCTTTTATGCATTACAACAATACATTAATTTAATAATAACAACAACACAGATAGTGTGATAAACATGTGTCACACATTTAAATGTACACAACTTTACAAACAACAAAAAACAGGTAAACACCAACAACAACAGAAAAACAAGTAAACAAACTAATATAAACACAAACAATATCTCTCTCCCTCCCTCACTAAAAGTTACTTTTAAATAAGTTTAATAATATTATTAGTCTAAGTCAGTGTGGACCATTTTATTTTCTGTTAAATCAGTTTGTCCCTCCTCCCCCTGCCCCCCTCTCTCCCCCTCAAAATCAATAATTTCAGTAGTCTCAGGACCCCCTACCTCCCCCTCAATGGGGAGAGAAGAATTATTATCTTTTTCTAATAAACTTGAGGACTGATCAAAACTGGTCTCTGTTGATTCTATATTGGACTCAAACTGCTCAACCTAGGGATCAATATAGAATCAGTGTGAATCAAGTATGAATCAGTGTGTATCAGTATCAATCAGTATATTTATTAATGATTACTTCAATAGGAAACAGTTCTCTTGCTCTACTTAATGTCATCTTAGCACTGTTGGACCTCTCAAGGAAATAACTAGAAAATAATAATAACATAAGAACATGCACATGTACATCATAAAATGTAATATAAATGGAGAATTCTCTCCTTTACAATTTTGGTAAAACTTGGCTTGAGACGATGTACTATAGTACAGGGACTTTGGCCCAATTTTTGAGCAACTTCAAAAATTCATAAAAAATTAAACTTCATCCGAATCAGCTCAAACTTTCTACACAACATAAGTACATGTACATGTATCACAAAATGTAATAAAATGCAGGAATTCATTCTCTCACTTTCATTTTTAGCAAAATTCGGCCAAAATCTCAGTACTATAATAGTACAGGGACTTTGACTCAATTTCAGAGAAACTTAATAAATTCGTAAAAATCCAAATTTGATCGGAATCAACTCAAACTTTCTACACAACATAAGTACATGTATATGCATCAAAAAATCTTTTCATTTTTCTCAAAATAGCCTGTGCAATTACATGTATACTGAATAGCCAGTCAAATATTACTACTATTAATATACTTATTATTATTATTATCATTATCATTATTAACCTGTTAGATACTTCATTGGACTGAGCAGGAGGTGACCATCCTGTGTACGGGTAAGTTGATGTGGTGTATTGTCTTCTGTCAAGCTCATTCTGCAGCCATTGGATTGAGAACTGCCACAACCTCTTCAAATGAACATCCTCATCTAACACCACCATTGTCAACTGACACCTAACAATATAACAATTAATCTTATTAAACGTGTCAATAAATTATACATGTACTATACATGTATAATTGTACTACCATATAGTGGGTTTTTTGAGGATAACAAATTTTGTTAATTTTGTGGATTTTTAAGATTTGCAAGATTAAATTCCTTGAAAAACAATTTAATATGGTACAAGATGGCAGAATAGTGGTAATTCGTGAAAATTAATTTTGTGAAGATCCGGATACAGGCCATTTGCAAAAATATTATCCTCAAAAACCCGCTATATGGTATATTAGTATTATTATTATTATTATTATTATTATTGTTGTTATATTATACCTTGAGCATAAGTTAATGATAAACTTGATACAGAGATAAGCTCTTTTCTGCTGTACCACATGAGTCTGTCCGTGTTGTATCATCGTCATCATCCCATCCACTCTATCCTGTAGACCTGTGGAGGGATAATAGGATCAATATATACATGTACATGTACAGTATAGCCTCTCTTAATGGACACTCTCTATAGCGTACACCTCCATTTAACGGACAGCACCTAGTGTACCAATTACATTCCTTACTGTATAAAATAACCTCCACATAAAGGACACCTCTGTATAACAGAGACACAGTGTCCATTATACAGAGGCTAGTCTGTACATGTCCTCACCTAAGAACATTGCTCTTATTCTGGTGTGCTGCCATGAGTCTGCCATTGTTAGTAGGTGGTACAGTAGATCAAGATAAGGTCTCATGTCAAAAGGTTGCACTGTAGCAATCTGTGAAGAATTAATAACCATTAATAACTAACAATAACTGCCAATAACTATTAATAATTACTAATAAACATTAATAACTACAACTATTAATAACTAATAATAACATTAATTAATCGATAAGTATTAATAACCATTAATAACTACTTATAAGTATTAATAACTAATCCTCACCTCCATTAGCAGGTCTGCTATTACGACAGCCGAAAATTCCCAATTTTCCCACGAGCAAAACTAAAATTGAAAATACATGTAATACATGTACAGGCTTCCATGGCAACGCACCCCTAAGAAGCGGAGTGTCTCCTCAATCGGACTATTGTCCTCAATCAGTTTCTTAACATAAGTAGTGCTTTGCTGGATACTAATAATTGATATTATTAATAATAATAATAATTAATATTAATATACATTATACCTAGTTCTCTCATATAGCCAGTGTAGAAGATCATTTGATAGTTTCTCACACAATTCAGGATCAGCATAAGGATTAGGTAATACCTCAGTACCCTGGAGTACAGCAATAGATTAATAATATATTAATGAATAATGATTATTATCATTATTATTATTATTAATATATTAATATACTTCTTTGGAGCTCCTCTGTATAACAGACACATCACAAGACCTCACTAAGACACTGACCACAGAATAAAGACGAGAGATATCAGCATAAGGAGACCTGAGGGCTGGGCCAGGTCCCTCATCTAATGATAGAGCAATGAACTGGGCAGGGACACCTAGTCTTAACAAATGCTGTCTCTAGAATAATAATAATAAATAAATAAATAAATAAATCAATAAAATATTGGTAATAATGCAAAATTTTATTATAACCACTGTTAGATTTAGAGGGAGTTTAGGAGACTTCTGGTCTTCCATATCTGGTCTACATGCACATGTACATGTACATATAGGTCTCCTGAAATCTGTCCCATTTTTCAGCTTTTGGTCTCTCATATTTAGCCCTAGGGATCCTTAAGTCTACCAGTTTTAGTTAGATTGGTCTACCAAAATTTATTTCCAGATCTAACACTGGGTATGTACATATACATATGTAAATAATAAATAAAATATATCATAAAACATCATACAGTACATTATTATTATTATTATTATTATTATTATTATTATTATTATTTTTTTTTTCTGGTTCTTACTTCATAGGCTCCTTTATGAGCGTAGGCTAGGAAGACTTGGAAGTACTGGTGTAAGTGTCTGCTGTGGTCAGATACCTCCTTCTTTAGTAATGTCAATAACTGGTTGAGGGCAATGTCACTGAACAAGTGCTCTGAAACATCTATAAATAAACAAATAAATATATTAATAAATAAACAAACAAAACAAATAAATAAATAAATAAATAAATAAACAAATAAATAAACAAACAAACAAATAAATAAATAAATAAACAAACAAACAAATAAATAAATAAATAAACAAATAAATAAATAAATATATTAATAAATAAGTAAATAAATCAATAGATGTAGATAATTAAGTACTTACGTATTCCAGTGGCAGTGTTCAAGTGTATTTCAAATTTCTCATCTTTGTTGGTGATGTGACACAAATGAGGGATCAACTTAGCAAACATGTTCCTTAGCTGGAGGAAAAGAATCAAATTAATAATTAATTAATTAATTATTAATTAATATGTACATGTACATGTATAATATTCACTAGCTTAATGCATGGACTGTAGGTCAAATTTTTGAATTTTTGAGCAACTTTAAAAATTCATAAAAAATCCAATTTTGATCGGAACCAGCTCAAACTTTCTACACAACATAAGTACATGTATATGTACATGTACATTCAGTAGAAGCCTTAGATGCTACCAAGTGGCAGCATTCCCCAGCACTACCATACACTAATAATACTGGTACTATTGACTGATAGTGCATGTAGATATACACTGTACACAGTCTCTAGTATCAATGGTTAGTGTATGTACACATACTTCAGTTGATGGGCACTCTAACAGGTAAGCACAGAACCTTTCTCTGTGTTTAATGAACACTTCTTCACAGAACCACCTCCTGATCCTTGAACTGTAATACAAGTATGGGTTCATGGCATCAAACCAGTCATTAGCAGGACCTCTGTATGGAGTAAAGGTAAGCACATATCATTATAAAAATTTTTATTTATTATAGTACCTCAGTGTCTTCTTAGTGTGGAATCCACTGTGGAATAAAAACTTTGTCACTAGCTTCATACAAAGGCTACCTATCTTCTCAAAGTTTTCCTATAAAAATGAAAAAAGGAGGACATTAACTTATGTATACATTTTCTGATACATATTGATGTCCTTATGCTGTGTAGCAAGTTTGAGCTAATTCTGACTTCAAATTTTCAAGTTACGGCCATTTTAAGAAAATGCCAAAATTCTGAAAAGTACCCAAGGCTATGCCCATGATTTTTTTCAAAAAATGGCTCCGAAATCACTCCAAATTTTTATTACATTTTCTGATACATATTGATGTCCTTATGCTGTGTAGAAAGTTTGAGCTGATTTTGACTTCAATTTTTCAAGTTACGGCCATTTTAAGAAAATGACAAAAATCTCAAAAATACCCAAGACTATAGTCCATGGTTTTTTTTTTCAAAAAATTGCCAAAAAATCACTCCAAATTTTTATTACATTTTCTGATACATATTGATGTTCTTATGTTGTATAGAAAGTTTGAGCTGATTTCGACTTCAATTTTTCAAGTTACGGCCATTTTAAGAAAATGCCAAAATTCTGAAAAGTACCCAAGGCTATAGCCCATGGTTTTTTCAAAAAATGGCTCCGAAATCACCCCAAATTTTTATTACATTTTCTGATGCATATTGATGTACTTATGCTGTGTAGCAAGTTTGAGCTGATTCCGATTTTAATTATTCAAGTTACGGCCATTTTAAAAAAATGCCAAAATTCTGAAAAGTACCCAAGGCTATAGCCCATGGTTTTTTCCAAAAAATGACCCCAAAATCTCCCCAAATTTTTATTACATTTTCTGATACATAATGATGTCCTTATGCTGTGTAGCAAGTTTGAGCTGATTCCGACTTCAATTTTTCAAGTTACGGCCGTTTTAAGAAAATGCCAAAAATTGAAAAATACCCAAGGCTATTATACCACATGGTTTTTTCTAAAAATGGGTCCAAAATCACTCCAAATTTTTAATACATTTTTTAATCCATGTATTGATTGTGTAGATACATTAATTCTTACCATTGGTTCATTAGGATTGTTGGCATCAATTTGTGTCTTTGCAAAATTATAATTAATGATTAATAATTGCTTCATGAACTGGTAGTAAGGAATGGAGAAATGAGACTTGATGTGTAGATAGTCTAAATTCTGTTTTTGAACTAATTTCATGATTGGACTGGGAACAGAACAAGATGAATCATCTAAAGGAGAAAGAGAAAGAGAGAGAGAGAGAGAGAGAACTTTTAATATATTATCCCTCAAAGTTTATTATGAATTATTACAAAAATATAATTCACAAACAGAAAGTCTTAGAAAACTAATACCGTATAGCTAGAAATTTCTGTGGCCCAAAATTTCTGCGAACTGCCAAAAAAT